CCGTGGAAACCGGTCGTTCTAACACTCTGTGAGCAATAGATATGGGAGGCCAGACAATGGTGAGGGCCAACGGTCAGGGAGGCGAGCACCAGCACTTGCAGCGTAAAAATGCTTTAGCAGACGGAACGAAGGGCTTGCCTAATTATCGTGCGTCTGAAACGAAATATTAATGAGAAAAGAGTGCGTGGGACGTCGGCATAACGTGAATCATGAGGCGTGCAGCGTCCCCTCGTGAGCCAAGGCGCTCACTGACTGGAGATCGTCGCACCTCCATATGAGCGCGCAAATCGCCCCAAAACGGCGTAAAAGCCTTTCCATAGCTCTTCCCTGTGTGGGTTCTGCTGACGCTGATGCTCGGGGTAGCCCAGTAGCCCCAAAACCTTCGTTGTACTCCCTTGCTGTCGTTGCCGAGCATGACACCGCAATGGGAGATGAGCACCACAATAGGGGGGCAGGACCTGCTTTCAAAAATTCAAGTGCTCCGAAGAAGAAAGTGTTTGCTAATACTCTGGGAGGACAGGGCTCCGGCAAAACTGAAGCCACAAGCCACTTCGACAAAGCCCAAACTTTCGCTTTGCAGCTACTCCGATCACCGTGCGCACTTGCAGCGCAATCAGAACAAGCAGTTCTACATATCTGACTGTTCCCACCTACCATATTTGATATAATAAGTATTATCAAGCGTTTTGGTTGACGATATGTTGAGTGGATAAGAATGGAAGGCAAACAGAGCGGGTGCGGAAGCAAGAACCTGTGCTGGACGTGATGACTAGGCACCAGGGAAGGCAGCCACTGTCCTGTCTCCGGAGAACCAGCAGAGTCAGATTTTCTGCGGAATCACTCCAAATATCCACAATTTAGATTTTTGCAAATTTTCGTAGACCTCTCGTGACTTTTATATGCCTTTAAACTGCGGTGTATCAATGTTGTGCGAACAGTGCGATGCCAGGAGACTCACACTCAGCTATCCCTCCCGCTAACCAGTGCCGCCTACAGACCCAAGATGCACCAGATCTCAGAAGGGAAAGCTATCCGTACTTGCCGAGGCCCTAACCTAAGGATGTTCCGCCAGGCACTGAGGTTAGGTTACGATGCCGGGCATAGACTGAGTATGTACTCGGCCTGCGTCGCCAGAACCCGAGCCATCTTGGAAAGAGACCCCACATGCTACGGGGAGCTCTGCAGCAGGAAGCAGGAGAGGAGCAAAAGCAGGAATGTAATTTCCAGAAAAAAACCCTGAGCGGCTGCGTGAGCAGTACTGACCCTAAAGGGGCTTATGCACGAGCAAATTGGCTGGACAGAAAACAGCGTTTCAGCTTGTTGCTCTGTGACCGCACTGAAACGAAAATAACGCTTTGAGTTGTGTGTCTCTACAATAAGGACGTCTGCATTGCACAAGCAGTCCCGCACCCGCAATGAAGTTCGCTGCTGCGTAACCACTTCTGCATAGACAAGTAAACACGAAGGGCCTGTGGCTCATGCCATGCTTCAGCGATTTATGAGGCTAATCACTAAACTCAAATCCTCTAAAATGCACTGGAATAGTTCACTGTGTTCGAGGGTCTCGAGCTCCGCAGATTCAGGCAACATTTTTGGGTTTCTCAGCAGAAATGTTCGACAGAAAGAAAATAACAAAATTTCTCTAACTTTATTTGCTCTTTAAATATAGTTGTTAACGCAGTGGTTCAGCGGACCAGAGATCCTACCTACGATTCGCGCATGGTAACTCCTGCGTGTCTATTATGGAGCTCACCGCCTTCAGCATTGAGCTCTAATATTATACAGCGCAAGCCGAAACCTCATTTCTACATTTGCTAAAGTTGCACTGGAGTGACAGTAAAGGCGCGACCCTGGTGTCTTCAGCGCAGTCCCACTTCCACCGGACGCACTAGCCAAGCCTTCCTGTGTTCGGCCAAATAACACATGTGGTCAAATTTTGGTTCAAGCCATCACATTTGGACGTAGCCTTTCCCATTTCCTTTGCCACTGTCTTTATTTGAGCACAACAGCGAATAAAATGGACTAACTTGGGGCCAAAAAATGCCTTCAGAGAAGCTTTGCGCATGGTGGCTCCAGCAGCCTGCTTTTCTAGCACTGTAGAAAAGCGGTCTGCTTGGCGCCTTGGCACTGCAGCACAAAAATATCAGCCCTGCATTGCTGCAGGCCCAGCAATACACTCCAAAATCAAATGAGGTTTACAGCTTCTGCAGCTAGTACAAATGCAACTGCTGCAGCACCAATCGCCAAGGCGGTCTGTTTGCTTTCATTGCCTACGCTCGCTTTTGCAGGCGGTTCACCTGGTGCGTTTGTGGTTGTTTCGCGGCCACACAATGATTTTCTCTGCAATACGTTATCAGCATGCAGTTTGCGCATGGCTTTATGTGCTCCTTTGGGAGAGCCTGCCTCTTTAGACACTTCACTCCTGGTGCCTCCGCCGGTTCCTGCAGTTGCTACATCTGAGGCAGCTGCACTTGCAGCTTCTCCGACTGTCGCCTGAACAGTTCGCACTGGGCCAACGAGCTCATTCGCAGAACAGCCGCTGGCACGATTGTCTGCTTGAATTGCTGCATTTGTTTTCGGCTCCCCTTGTTCGCCGCCCCGTTCGGCGCGATTGCTTCAATTTGCTTTGGTCCCTGCATCATATTGGACAGAAACTCGTGCACTGTGTGCTAGCTTTAGACGAGGAGTCGAAAAGCTCAGAAGATAGCAGTGGTAAGCAACAAAGCAATCGCGAGAAACTAGCAAGCTGAAGGATCACCAAATATCTTCAAAAGAACTTTTCCTGTGCAGGCTGCAGCATCCGGCTTTTCTAAGACTCTATAATAAAGCTTTGTAGGGCCGTCTGCCACTGCAGCACAAACAAATCAGGCCTGTGAGCCTGCAAACTCAGCGTCGCAGTTGGAAATGCAAGTTGTGCTGCTACACTGTGCACACTCAAGGGATGGTCAAGTTGCGAGCAAGACGTTGTAAAGTGTAAGACAAGAACTCAAGCAAGTCCTGCTTGAAGCTTCACGTGCACCTACACCTTGTCCGCTCCGCACAGCGTGAAACCACGACGCTCATCTCTTCCGTTAGTGCCAACAAATCGCGTGTAAACTGCAATGTCATTACCACCCCACAACAGCGTTTTGCCAATGGTCCCAACTGTGGCTAGACTCCCCATTGCCACACGAGGACTGGAAGACTAACTCTCTCAGCCAGCTGCTTGCCAAACGGGTTTTCTAATAATAGTCTTCGCCTAAATTTGCCTAAGAGGCTTTGATTTTTCATTTCCTGCAGGGAAATCGCAGATACGGCAGACCCAGCGGGCACTGCTCCAGGAGGTGCTCTGTCGCCGAGCATTCAACTCTCCAAATTGCTGTTCGCCTCCCTACTGGTCCTTGCAGACACAAATAGAGCCTGAAGTGAGTAACAAACAAAGTACTTACTTCCTCCACAATCTCAATATGCAAGGTCACTGTACCAACGCCGCGAATATCACAGTCCGCCTTGACCCTAGCTGCAGGGACCCCCAATACACAAAGGAGAGGGCAATAAAAGTTAACTCCACGCATGCAAGCCACAGTTCAAGCAGCTCTCCGTGTGCGGAAATTTCGGAGCATGCTTATCTGCATTGGCTCATACAGGCGCTACAGGTGCTACTGCAGCTGCAGCTGTTGCTTCGCATTGATTCAAGCCGAATCAGTGACTGGCTCGGATATCTTACCTCGAAATGGTTCGCTATGGGGAGAGCAAAGGTTACCCATGGATTCCTCAAGCTTCAGTAGCTCTTGTCGCAGGACTTTATACTTCTGAAATGCGCAGGGCACACGACGCGCACCGCGTCTAGGAGGCTGTTAGAGCAGCACTAACAAACCACAAATTAAACAACATCCACTGAATTCCATGAAGGTCAGCGTGCATAGGAACCATGCTGATGGTTTTGTTGCTGTTGCTATACTGTGGACCTACGTCTGCCTTGAGGTTCGGAAAGTCATAAGGTCTTCCCAAATGTCTATAGTGGGGAGAATACAAATCCCAGAATTCCAACTTCGGGTAATAAAGCGAGCGTTCCTTTGGCTGAGGTGCCTTTGAGCTGCTGGCAGCAGTCTTACCTGCTACCCCTCCTGCTGCTGGGTTTGCTGCCACATCAGATTTTGCTGCGACGGAAGATATTTTCTTGCCGGCAGTTTCCAAGAGGCCAGCCACCCGCCCCATCCATCTTGCACGCCCTTGCCTTTCCACTGTATGTTTCCCACATTCTTTTCCAGCAGCTGGATGCCCGCGTTTGCTGTCTGGGTCGTCATCCTCCTCATCTGCTGCTGGTTTTGGAGCTACCGCAGCGGCACCGCCAGATGCTTCATCCTCACAGCTCCTGCTGACGCCTTCCTCCGCTGCGCCGGTTCCTAGCGCTTGAGCGTTAAACCTCAGGTCTCCGGACGGACTGTCTTCATCGGAGTCCTGAGTGACGCACCAAAAAGCGCAAGGTGGGAGTGGAGCACAGGGGTGAGACAGAAACTACACGCGGCACGAATCTGTTGGGTCCGATACATTTGAAGTGCAGATTTCCTACACCTACTTGCGAGCGGGATGAGATGTCACCACCCAAGTCTGAATCTCCAGTCCTGCAACCACTTTTCGACAAGTGCTGTAATTGACGTCGAACGCAGAGAGCCACAAACAGCACGACGGCGGAATAAACTAGCAGCTTTAGTGCTGTGGAATGCCCGATAACTGGCAAGCCAGAGCCTGAAATAGGCCGAGTAGCCTGAGAGAGTAAACCTGAGTCCCGGCTATTTGTCGGGCTAGGGGACAACTCATAATGCACTGCTTCCCCCATGAGTGCCAATTAAGGAGCTCGAAGGAGTCAGAACCCTGCAGCGCGTGACCCCGTAACAAAGGGCCTGAATTGACTTGGAAAGGTAGCGAGCTTGCCCAAACGTTTCAAAGAGGATTTGATGTTTTAGAGGTGGGCTGCTTTCAAGGTGTTATAAGACAAGAATTATAGTACGGGCCTTGACTGCCCAAGCGGCTCCAAACGAACACAAAATCGACGGGCATCTAGGGTGAGAGGGCCGCCCTAGTCATACTCTGGGAATGCATTGTTGGCCAGATTACAGTGGCAGAAGAAATGTTTCATTGCGTCGCTGCCTAGCTACTTGCTGCAGACGGGAGTCGTGAACGGACAAGCGTCTCCTGCATCCGCGTGGGGTAGTCCCCAATGGCGTGCTATGGCTGCTGCTTTTCCGAAAAGCTCCGGCGCTGGTCACCCTTAATTACTCAACAGGTTTTCAATATTGTTCTGTAGTATTATAAACGCTTTAATGTGTCATAGTAGCTCGCCTGAGTAACCTATCACGACACATCCCTGCAGAGGAGTCGTGGGCTCGCAGACTTGGGAGCGGTTTTGTAGAGTAAGGCGTGTGCAGCGTAGTTCGGTACTATCTAAGGTGA